GCCCCTGGCCCGGCGAGCCCAGCCGACGGCCCGCCGCACCCCCAGGGGCGTGTTCGGCTTCGTGAAGCGGGTGCAGCACAAGGGGAACCAGGTGTGCTGCGCCGCCAAGTTCATCCCCCTGCGGAGCCGGACGCGGGCCCAGGCCTACCGGGAGCGGGACGTGCTGGCCGCGCTGGACCACCCGCTGCTCACGGGGCTGCTGGACCAGTTTGAGACCCGCAAGACCCTGATCCTCGTCCTGGAGCTGTATCCGCCGGTGGGGAGCCCAGTGGCGGGGCGGGGGCGCGGGGTGGGCCGTCTGCCCCCCGGGCGGCACCGCGGGCAGCAGCGGGACCGGGCTCCGGGCAGGGGCGGGCCTGGCTCCAGCCTTTTCCTTGACGGAACCAGGTGCTCCTCGGAGGAGCTGCTGGATCGGCTGTTCAAGAAGAGCGTAGTGACCGAGGCTGAGGTGGGCAGATGGCCCCTGGCCCGCCTCGCGCCGGCGCCCTCCCCCCACTCCGGCCCTGCGCCCCCTCCCCGCCCTCGCCCCCCTGAGCACGGTCTCCTGGCCAGGTCAAGGTCTACATCCAGCAGTTGGCCGAGGGGCTGCGCTACCTGCACGGCCAGGGCGTCCTCCACCTGGACATAAAGGTACCACCGCGGCCAGCCCCCGCCACCCGTCGGCCCCCTGGGCAGAGACCCGCCCCTGTGCCATGACCCCTCTGCCCAACAGCCCCCCAACATCCTGATGGTGCACCCTGCTCGCGAGGACATCAAAATCTGCGACTTCGGCTTTGCCCAGAAAGTCACCCCGGCAGAGCCCCAGTACAGTCAGTACGGGTGCCCTGAGTTTGTGGCCCCGGAGGTCATTGAGCAGAACCCCGTGAGCGAGGCCTCTGACATCTGGTGGGTGACGCTGGGTGGTGGGTTCCAGGGACCCCCCTCACCCCCCAGGGGAGACTCACACCCCCGTCTCCCCGCAGGGCCATGGGCGTCATCACCTACCTGAGGTGAGTGGGGACCCGACCTCCCTGCCAAGGTCACCCCAAGGGCCCCTGGAGGCCGGGCACCCTGGCCGCTGCCCAGATGAGGCCCGAGAGCCGGGCTGCTGACCGGCTGATAAATCGGCTGCGCTGGCCTGGCCTTGCCAATCGCCACGGCCTGTGGGTGGACAGGTGTCCCTGTGGCAAACGGTGTGGCCCAGAGGCCTCTGGACAGCAGAGCCCAGCCCCCCACACCTCCCCACAAGCATGGCGCCCCCCCAGCTGGCAGGCCACCGCCACCCCCCCGTGGGACGCTGAGCCCGGACCCCACCCCCCAGACCCTGCCCGCCATGCCCCCCCCGCAGCTCACCCCAGCCTCCCCACCCCGTGAGGCTCAGCCCCCCGCCACCCCCCAGGCAGTTCAGCCTGCGCCCGCCCAGGCCCTGCTGGGCAAGCCCAGCTCCCTGGGCAAATGGGGGAGCTGTGGGCTGGCTGGGAGGACGGGAGCCCACCCAGTGAGGGCACCCAAGGGCCGTCCCTCGCTTCCAGCTTGACCTGCTCGTCCCCTTTTGCCGGTGAGAGTGACCGAGCGACCCTCCTGAACGTGCTGGAGGGGCGGGTGTCCTGGGGCAGCGCGCCGGCTGCCCACCTCAGCGAGGACGCCAGGGACTTTATCAGGGCCATGCTGCAGCGGGCCCCGCAGTGAGTGCTCGCCCTGCTCGCCCGCTGCCCCGCCCCGCTGGCCGCTGGCCTGACCCCTCTGCTTGTCTCGCAGGGCCCGGCCCAGTGCGGCCCAGTGCCTCGCCCACCCCTGGTTCCTGGTGAGTCAGTGAAGCCCTGGAAGGCCGCTGGGGACCAGGGGCCGCGGGGGGTGCGGGGGCTGCGGCGGGGCCTGCAACGCTGTCTCCCGGGCCCCAGAGGTCAGTGCCCGCCGAGGACGCCCACTTCATCAGCACCAAGCCGCTCAAGTTCCTGCTGGCCCGTAGCCGCTGGCAGGTCAGTGGCCACGGCTGGGG